ATACTCATATATATATATATATATATATATTAAAAAAAATATAAAAATTTTTGTCAATGAATAGCACTTTATCTTATTCGATTATTCGTACTTATTATATTAAGCATTATTGATGATCGCATTGATTCAAACCCAATTATAATCTTAACATCTTCTTTTCGAGATTTTTGTCTCCCTGATACCTAAAAAAAAAAAAAGAGAGAGGAAAAGGAAATTCATTATTACATGCTAATGCACTGTTTATTCTAAGATATAATAAGCTATTTATATAATCTAAATATTTCAAATTTTCAATAAACTACATGATCAGATATATACCTTTGATATTAAACTTACCGAGATTTCTTTTAGAAATGTATCGCATGTAATAATCTCAAGATAAAAAATATTGTATCGTAATTCCTAATAGAACCGATATTGATAAAGTCGCGACTCCTGCATTGTTACATCTGTGATCAAAGTAACAGAAACACCAAGTAACTTCGTCATAGTAATCACGATGAATATCCAATTGATAAATGCTGTTGTTGACGTAATGTCCTAATCGTACATCTTTTGCGGCTGATCTGCAGCCTTCATAATGATCCGCTGGTATATCTGTTCTAAAGCTACGCACGGAACTCAAGCATTCACGCGTGATGATTGTTTCCGCTAAAAAGAGAAATTGCACAGTTGTATCATATGTATACGTGTTCTCGTATATATTGGCACATCTATCAGTAGATCTGATGATTTAAAAAAAAATAAAAAATTATCTCATTTTTAAATACAGAGTCAATGGTCACCTCCTTTCCGTTCGATTATCTTTACACATTTATCGTCGTATTCTGGACAAGTTTCTCCCCAATACCATAACCAATTTAAAGGCGTACCACACCCGGGAAGATTACTGTTACATCTGTAACAGTACAAACTTTCACCTACAATTAAAATCTTATTAATTCGAAGCAAAATGATGATAATAATCTAAATGACTCAAAGCCACGCCCTGTAGCACAAGGATAAAATTCTATACCTTCATCAACCAAAGTGATCGCAAAAAAAATTGTATAAAATATTTGTCTCATTATCGATGTGTTCGAAAGACTTTTATATCACGTTTTATTCAGTGAACTTTATTTATAGTAAATGCAAAAAAAGCAAGAGACGAATCACGTTACACACACTCCTTATGCACACACTCGATATACTGTATACGTTACATTCGTTAAAAGTCAACGAAAAAAACTAGAGACCTCTCTGTCGTAAATCACCCATATCAGAGAGAAGCCTGAGAGGGGTCATGGACGCGTTTGAGCTGTACTACCGACGAGGTACTATTAAAGACCGACGACCGTGGGTAAATTTTCGTCACCATCAAAGGGGTCCCCGGGGCCCGGAGATAATTGAAAAACGTTGAAGAACGTTGATATTATCAACCGTTGATATTATCAACCGTTGGCGGACGCGACTGTCCATCTTTATCATTCTTGCGTCTAGCACGGAAGAGAATCACAAAAACGTGCACATTACCTACGCGAATAAGGGTACAGCTAAAACGCGTCCATGACCACTCTTTCTCTGTCCATATTATAGCCAAAATAACCGAAAAAAATTGCGATGTAATTGTGATTTTTATCATCTCGACTCTAAAAAGAAAAAATTTTTTGTAAGATTTTTATCTATTATAATTTTTTGATACTCGAATTCCAAAATCCGGCTCTTTAGTGAATTTCAAAACTATATAACAAAAAAATCTCTTAAAATATTGTTTTTGTAAGATGAAATATAATTCAACATATATTCTCAAACATATATTTGCATATATAACTGTAGCCATAGATAAAAAATAAATAATCTTAGGGCCATTTTCACCAACTCCGGTTAATTTAATCGGCCGAAAGTTCGATTAAGTTAATTGAAAATGAAAATAATCTTTATTGAAATTAAACCACTACTTAAGATCTAATCCTTAAAACATAATGAAAGGAATAAGAAAAAAAAATTTTAACGCAGAAAATTAGAGAATATATAGAATTAAATTTCGATATATGAAAAAAAACTGTGCTTCCATACATAATCGAGAAATGACAAAATGTTCCAATTTTGGACTTTATATTCTGATATCCTTCTCATTTCGTAGGTGCATTCCGATATTCATTGCCAATACTAAAAGTCTATAATCTATGTGAAATGAACTATATATTTTCGATACTAGTAGTAAATATCGGAACGCTGCCACGGGCGACATGGCTGAGAAGCGCAAATGACATGAGTAGCGTATTGTCAAATAGAATAGGAAAAAAATTTTTTTTAAGTGTTCTTTTAAGTGTTAAATTACATTTATGTTTACAATCACATATGCTTGTGTCATGATTTTCATATGTTCTGCTCAACTACATTCCACATCTCACCAGTTTTCTGTTCTCAACTTTCTGTTCATTTTTTTTACAAGTATGTTTATTATCGATAAAAGTTAAGTCTACTAGTAATCTTTGCCAATTTCTTTGAAATTCCATTAAATACTTCGAATGCGATAAATGTATATGTATTAAGTGTATGAACTGTGAATTTAGGAGATAAAGAACTATCTTTTTCGGAAAAACTGAGGTTAGAAATTGTCGCGTTCAGATTCAAATAGTTTTATTAGTTTATTAGGGATTATTTACAAATATACTTTTGTGTGTACGTAATATATTTATTTGCTTATTTTAATGTAATCGTGAATTCTTTGATATACTTTCGTTAGCATTGATATTGAAAACAAACGAGTCGATATACAAAGCTTTAATCGATAATAAAAATAAATCGGTAATAATGTTTAATGTCAAAAATTTTAACTTTGATTCACAGTCAAGATAAAAATTTGTATATCGAAGCTGTTTGTTCCAAATATAATTTGAATAACGTTCTTTAACCAAAAAGTGTTAATAGAAATAAAAAAAAATATTAAGAATGATAAAGCTCTTTGTTGTTTCGTTAATTATGGTTTTTTCTTCGAAACGAAGTACAAGGTGCGGTCAAAGTCTCATTATAAATACTTCGAAGTATTTGATTAACCAATCGGAATAACGAATTTTATCAATTAATCACAAAGTGCTTCGAAGCTTTTGTAACATCCAATTGACTACAGTCACAGTTAAACATAACCAAAAAAAATGTTATTTGAATAATTTTTTTTATTCTTTAAAACTAAAAATTTTTGTACATATTTGAAGTTGGTTAATTAAATATCAAAATCTTTAAACTGCTCTTCTATAAAATCATGTTTTTAATGTCTTTTTCTTAAAAATTTAGCTGATTTTTGTAGTTCTTTTTTAATTTCTTCAAAAATAAATAGATTAGAAGAAAAATTATAATGACATGAATCGTTTACAATTTTAGAAAATTATAATTTTATCAAAATTTACAAGCGACAAAAGAAATTAGTTTTCATAAATCTTGATTGAAAATCTGAAAAATTTAGAGTATTTTTTCTCTTTTGAGAAATAAATATCAATTAAAATATAACCAAAGATATGCCAGAAGGAATAAAATAGAAACCAAAAAAAATATATCCAAAAATTAATCTAAACAAATATGTTGACGGAAAAAAGAAACAAGTTTAAAGAGAAAGATAATTCTGCCTTACAATTTTAGATATTCCTTTAAGTGTAATATATTGACCAATATTATAAATATATTATTGCTTTATAGCATGTCACTGTGCAATACCACAAGCAAATCAAGAAGATGTGCTTCGCTCGTTCAAGAGTTATTCCGATGTAACGATGTTTCATTATATGGTACCAAAAGAGGTACCTCGAGCTACATGGCAGTTTGCCGCTTTTATGGACAATCCTACGTGCCATCCACGGAAAGTTTATATGTAAATAATTTTTTAGAATTTTTAATTTGAAAATTTTTATTAATTTATAACAAATAATTTATTCAATAAATTTAAAATATTTTTTAGAAAAAACATACATCCCCTGTCTCTGTCTCCTGCTTCGCCCCCCCTCCCTTCTTTCTTGACTATAATTAAATTATTCTAACAAAATATATATAGTAATTTCGGAAGAAAAACAGTTGGATAGATATTTATAAGATACTGATTAATGAATCCAAAAATTAATTAAAATTATTATTTACAGACATTTGAAATTTGGTAGCTATCCAGTGATTACTGGGAATAATGAAAAAATTCCAGTGAATAAATCTATTGGACAAGATGATGATATTATTGTCACTACTGTCACAACTTATCGATCAAAAAATATAACTATTCTTCCGATATATGAGCCACAACCCGGAGATTGGTTTGTAGCAGCTTATATGTCTTATTGGGACGAAAGAGTACAACAACAGGTATAATTACTTATCATTTTAATTATGTGACAATAACTATTTTTATCTTGTAATTGTAAATATTACTTTAATATTACAAAACACATATAATTAATATCTTAACTCTTTTCTTATAGATCTTATATTTCAGGGGCTTGGACATAAATGTCGATACAGTATAGGTACGGTAGCTTTATGGTCGCAAACAAATAATATTAAAAATATTCCCATTAACTATGAAACGAGATTACGAACAAGTGCAACGACAACATATTACAAGTAAGTTGCGTGGGCGTACGTTTGCTTGTGTGCGTGCGTGCATGCGTGCGTGCGTGCGTGGACAACTCTTTGTATATCAAAATATGAAACATTTTATCGATAATTCTTTTTCATTTAGAATATATATTCCATCGGGAATACTAAACTTCCGTGTATCAGTCTGGAATTGCAGTTTTCTGTTGCATAGCCTTCATAATATTGATAATTCTTGTATCGAGGCTATGTACTTGAAAGGACGTATTTTGCCAGTATCTGATCATTTCCATTCCATGAAATCTATAACTCTGTCTACAAATACTAGCTACTCTTTCATAGAATCTTCACCTTACGAAGATAGCTATTATTATTTATTAATCATTTCGAGTAGCGTTATAGAATTCAACGTTAAAATTGATATAGCAGGTAATCTTTAATCTTTTTCTGTCTCTTTCTCTCTGTCTCTCGCTCACTCCCTCCCTCCCTCCCTCCCTCCCTCCCTCCCTCCCCCTCCCTCCCTCACTTCCTCACTCGCTCACTCCCTCACTCACTCACTCACTCACTCGCTCACTCGCTCGCTCACTTGCTCGCTCACTCACTCGCTCACTCGCTCGCTCACTCACT